CATGCCGCCGGGGGGGTACATGCCGCCTGGGGGACGCGGTCCAGGGCCGTACGGTGGGTAGAAGGGGGGCCGCATACCCGGGCCAAAGGGGGGGCGGATGCCGGGGCCAAAGGGGGGGCGGATGCCGGGGCCAAAGGGGGGGCGGATCCCCGGGCCGTATGGGGGGAAACCCCCAGGCCCCAGGGGGGGGCGAGGAACCCCAGGAGGACCAAAGGGGGGAAGGCCCCCGGGGCCAAGCGGGGGCCGAACCCCAGGAGGGCCGAAAGGGGGAAGGCCCCCGGGCCCCAGGGGGGGGCGAGGAACCCCAGGAGGACCAAAGGGGGGAAGGCCCCCAGGCCCCAGGGGGGGGCGAGGAACCCCAGGGGGACCGAAGGGGGGGAGACCACCGGGGCCTAGCGGGGGACGACTCCCAGGAGGACCGAAGGGGGGAAGGCCCCCGGGGCCAAGCGGGGGACGAACCCCAGGGCCAAAGGGGGGACGAACCCCAGGAGGACCAAAGGGAGGAAGACCCCCAGGCCCCATGGGGGGACGGCCCCCAGGAGGACCAAAGGGGGGGAGCCCCCCAGGCCCGAGGGGGGGACGGCCCCCAGGAGGACCAAAGGGGGGGAGCCCCCCAGGCCCGAGGGGGGGACGGCCCCCAGGCCCGAGGGGGGGACGGCCGCCAGGAGGACCATAGGGAGGAAGGCCCCCTGGACCATAGGGGGGACGACCACCAGGGCCATAGGGGGGACGACCACCAGGACCAAAGGGGGGCCGACCCCATGGGGGACGGCCCCCAGGTCTAGGGAGCCACCAGGGAGGAAACCAGAGAGGATAGTCCCAGGGGGGTTCTGTACCACCACCTCCAGGTCTATGTGGTCCACCGCCTCCAGGTCTATGTGGTCTATGTGGTCTATGTGGTCTATGTGGTCCACCGCCTCCTGGTCTGTGTGGTCCACCGCCTCCTGGACCAGGTGGACCAGGTGGTCCACCACCGCCTGGACCCGATGGACCACCACCTCCTGGACCCGATGGTCCATTCCCATTCCCTGGGCCCGATGGTCCATTCCCATTGCCTGGTCCCGATGGCCCATTGCCATTGCCTGGTCCCGGTGGTCCATTCCCATTGCCTGGCCACGATGGTCCACTGCCATTGCCTGAGCCCGGTGGACCACTGCCATTGCCTGGCCACGATGGTCCATTCCCGTTGCCTGAGCCCGGTGGACCATTGCCATTTCCTGNCCACTGCCATTGCCTGGCCACGATGGTCCATTCCCGTTGCCTGAGCCCGGTGGACCATTGCCATTTCCTGGTGGTCCATTCCCATTTCCTGGTGGTCCATTCCCTGGTCTTGATGATCCATATCCTGGACCCCATGGTCCACCACCCATACTATATGGTTGTAGAATTCGTCGATAAGAAGATACTGCCCCTGATTCGTCTGAGAATATAACACGAGGACCCGGTGTACTGCTTTCTGTGTGTGTTGTGGACGATCGCCAGGAGCCCTGCTGAGGTGACCTTCTGCCTCCTGGGCTCCATGGTTGAATGGTTGGGCTGGATACTCTCCTCTCTTCTGCTGTATTAGAGGGTTGGCCAGCTGGCTGTTGAGTGAAGATATTGCTTTCTGATGCTGGGGGGAGGAAGCTGGTTCTTTGTTGCAGGAAACGAAACAGCAACTGGCTGTCTGTTGAGCTGAAAAAGATAGGTAATTCTACATCTGCAGATGTTTCAGGCAATTCACATGTAGAAAATAAACCTGATCCTAGACATAAGAGAAGAATTAGTGTAAGAAACCCTCGCAAGCTTCTGCCTATAGGCCGTATAGATAGGAGCATCGGCCTGTGTACTGGGGGGGGCATTGTGCGTCCAGCTGAGGGTTTTATAGCGCTTTCTTTGAAATAATATAAAATAAAAAGAAAAGTCCTACAAATATTCAAACAAAACTTCATTTGGATCTATAAGGACCAAGAGGAAAGGCGATTGCTTGCAGGTATCGGTGGCGCCGCCGACGAAAC